AAGTTTTGGTCTAATATATGTGTCTTTCATAGTAAGTAACTTATGGCATATCTTCTTATTCCTCAAATAGATTGCTTACCCGTCTACTTTGAAAGGTTTTGAGTATTCTTATTTGTAAATACAGTATATGCTGCAGCTAGAATTATAGACTTTTTGGCTGTGGTAGTGGGGGGGGGGGGGGGGAAAGAAGTTAGAGAATAATTCATGTAGGACTGAGGCCTGATCTACACATAAATCTTGTACCAGTATAATTATATGTATGTTAGGAGTGGACATAGTTTTCAAGTATAAAAGAACTTTATAGAAGCATCGTTTATTCTCAGTCACATAAAGCAATAAGCTGTATTGGTATAATCACTTTTATGCTAATATAAAACTTTCTACACTGAGAGGGGTTGTACTAATTTAACAATACCTGTACAATTAAGTGGTATAACTTGTGTGGTTTGACAAAGCCCAAAGATAAGTTATTTTGCTAACATGAAGGAATCACCAATAAAAGTCATGGGTTTTGCTATTTTGAGCAAGTTTTCAGTTAAGTTTGAGTGAAACACCAACAATTCACAATACGAAACCTTAACAGAAAAAACATTTTTTTTCTGAACAGCAATTCAACAAGTTCTGACTATGGAAGTTACAAAAAGACTAAAAATATATATATATATATATTTTTTTTTTCCAAAACAAATATTTTTGCTGACCAATCTGATGAAACTATTTCATCAATTTTCCCTTTGCGTTAAATAAACCAAACACCACACCCGTCACACTCTGGGATTTTTTCCTCTCTCTTATTTAAATGCTAATTGCTTCTCATGAGGATTATATTCAATCGTTCTTTTGCACAATTCACCACAGTACATTTTAGTGATCCAGTCCTGCATTATACATGTCCTGGAAAATTGTGAAGGTTTGTGCGCCTCTTTTAAGCCCAAGGTCCCTGATTCCCCACCCACTGAAATCAGTGGAAAAGCTCCCATGACTTGATAGGTGCAGCATCAGGCCCAAAATCCCTACAGAGTATTTCTATGAGTAGAGGAACCAAACATTGCTATCTCACATCTGTTTAGATGTGTATACTCCAATTTGCAGTCAATGACTTCAAATTTTTGTGTTAAAACGAGAAAAAAATAGTTCTTAATATGTTCTCAAATGTCACTCTTCTCCATTCCAGTTTACTGCCACTACTTTTGTCATTCGCAAATAGAAATTGCATCATGCAATCACTGAGAGACAGCAGAAAGATAAAATATAACACATATCCCCCATAAGGTGACAATATGACATAACAAATATATATTGACAGGCAGACTAAGTTATAGTGGATTTTAATTGTATTCTTTCCCAGAAAATACACACTGCTTACTAATTTTGTAGTCAACATTCATTTAAATGTAGAGCTAGAAAATATGTTACATTGTACAAAATATCCAATAGTCATCCAATGATTCCTTGTGTACAAAGCACAAGGACCCTAACATTTTGTTAAATTAATTAGAAAGCTTTTATGCAAGCGTTCTTTCAAAGATGTATTAAAGATTGAAACAAAAATTAAAACTGAGCCTTTTTTTTTTTAAAAGATTTTATGGATTTTTCAAAGATATTTTGCTTTTTTTCTTTCCAAAGTCAGTAGTCCAGCACTCAAGTAACTGAACAAAACACATATACATGAGAGAAAAACAAAAAAAGTCAGCTTTACATTTTTAGATTATAAGTAACAGCCAGCCAAAAATATAAACATAAAAATGCAGATATTGACTGCATATTTTAAAAGGCTGAAACTACCAGACACTGGTTAAATTTGTTTCTACTATGAAAAAAAATATTCTGATGGAATTAAATGAAAACTGTTAAACCACCATTCTGCATAGTTGATTAAAGAATATATAAAAAAATAAACAAATAAGAAAGCCAGCAATCATTCTTGTTAGGTCCATCCTCAAGAAAAATTCAATTTTCAAGCAGATTTTTGACAGTACGTCTTTTGTTTCTCTCTAGTTACGTAAAGAAAAACCAACCCCTGGCCTTAAATATTTTGACTAAAAAGGATAAAGGAATAGTAGTCAACAGTATCAAAAGCTTAGCATAACACAAGACAGGGTTGAAATATGCAAAATACAGGTCTAGAATAACAAGTTCAGCCACCCCAGATTGCGTTTTACAATGTCATTAACAGTCATGTGCCATCAAAACATGGAATGCGGCAGTCTTTGGGATATGAGCCACAAAGCTGAAGTAAAAGCTCCTCCTGTCGTCTAAAGCAGCAAAAAGAAAAGGAGGACTTGTGGCACCTTAGAGACTAACCAATTTATTTGAGCATGAGCTTTCGTGAGCTACAGCTCACTTCATCGGCATCATCAAGCAGCAAAGATTTCTCAACACACTCTGGACAAATACAGACATCAAAAATTAAATCTAGCTACAGAGAAAACAGGGTGACAGTTCAAAATTGAATCCTGAAGAATAATACAAATTTAAGAAAGGATTTTAGATTTTAAGAAAAAAAGTAGCAGAAAATCTGAAATGAAATTGAGACTAAAAAAAGCGGTGTTATAGTGTCCAGCTATACCACTAGTACTTTAGGGGATAATGCTCTCTTATTTTTTAATCTGTAATGCAAACCTAACCTGAGAAGCTACACAACATGGCTGTAGAAAACTCAGCAGTCTGCATAACAAAAACCACCTACATAATTTTTACTCAAAAGAAGACACCACAACATTGCTATGGTATTGAGAACACTGGCCTTACAAGCTTCTTCTCCTCAGATCTCACACCATTTTAGCTACATAAGTGGGAGTGCTAGGGTAGGTTGCCTGTTTTCTCCACGTGTCATCTAACCCTGTTCAGAACAGGTCTAGACTCAGTGGTAAAGTCAGTGACAAATAGTCTAAACTAGTCCTACCACAAGTAGAACTGCACCAGCAGGTTGTAAATGATAGGTGATTTTAAGAACAATCCCCATGAAAACAACCTCTGTAGTAAGATCCTCTAAATTAAATCCCTCCTAAACGCACTCCTTCCAAGCCTCTGATAGACAAAAAACCTTAAGACCCCCAATCCCAAAAATGCTTATGATCAATGGGGCCTACTCAACATGGGAAAATTAAGTATGTGCATAAGAATTTGTGGGATTAGGACATAAAAATATGTTCGCCTAGTGCTTGTCTTATCCTTATCCCTTTAGTTGTAACCTTCCCATAACAAAGACTATCATTATATTTGAGTCCTATCCAACACAGAGAATACCATCAGTCCTTAAAAAAAAAAACAATGGATACGCAGTGAGTTTGCCACCAGTAGTGGAGAGAACACATTTCAGGTACTATTACTTCTCTTGCAAGTAAAAAATGATCAAATCTTTTTGTGACAGCCAGTCCCTTTACTTTCTCAAAGGCAAATAAGGACACAAGAGAAACTGAGCATCACTGACTGGACAGAGCACTTGACTAGGTATCAGGAAACCCAACCTATTCCCTGCTCTACCACTGATCTGCTGTGCAACCTTCAGCAAGTCACTTCACCTCTCTATACCTCAGATTCCCCTTTCTGAAATGGGGATAACAATATTTACACTCCTTTGTAGAGAGCTTTGAGATCTATGGATGAAAGGCACTATACAAAAGTATTAACTATATTCAGTGCTTCATAAACCCACTCATCTCCATTGTGAAACTTTATCACAGGAGATAAAAACAGGCAGGTACTAATAACATAATATATTTAAAGAGAATCAAGTACAAATGTAGGGATTTGCCTTACCTACCTACTTTGATGTTCTTTCACTGACATCAACGGGCTTTGGATCAAGTCACAATCAGTTTAATTGTTTTCCCTCTACATAGAGAGTTTCCCATTTGTTTGTTGGGGGTCTCTCTCAACTGAGAAGGAAAAAAAATCTGAAAACAGGAAAACTTGATTGTGAAACCACAAGAATTATCAGGGAGAGAAAGGAGAAAATGTAGTTCCTGAAACTACTTTTAGCTTAGTTTTTAAAAACTGACTGGAATGCAAGCTGACAGTGTCCCTTTAAAATATATATTTGTGAACAACTAATCTAGGAGTTTTTCTCAGAGGAGTTTTAAATTCATTCTTTCACTGCAATATTAGAATTGCTATTTAGAGAGCATTATAATACATGCAGCCTTTTTAAATGTAGATTTTTAGTTTTCCTGAATGTAATCACTTTCAGTTTGTCAAAATCAGGTAGGGACTTTAAGTTTAAAAGCAGTGTATGAACTCAAAAAGAAAAGGAGTACTTGTGGCACCTTAGAGACTAACCAAATTTATTTGAGCATGAGCTTTCGTGAGCTACAGCTCACTTACATCTGATGAAGTGAGCTGTAGCTCAGGAAAGCTCATGCTCAAATAAATTGGTTAGTCTCTAAGGTGCCACAAGTACTCCTTTTCTTTTTGCGAATACAGACTAACACGGCTGTTCCTCTGAAACCTGTATGAACTCAAGTCCTCAATCCATATCACTCAGCCAAACATCAGAGTTAATTATTAAGCTCTAGCAGTGTGGAATATTTTCTGGAGGTCAAGCTAAAGGGTTTCTTGAGTAACTTTCATCATAAATTTTTCCTGGATGACTAAGGAATTGTGTGCCGCACTGCCACATTCAGAGCAAGTAACCTGATGTCTCCTGACAGAGTACAGCATGTCTCAAGAGGGACAAAATAGCGTGATTTCATTAAGGAACATATACATTTGGGACAAATTCTGCCAAAAGTAGCATTTTCTCTTCCTTTCAATATACACAGAAGCATACTTTATATCCCTAAAGACTTCAACTCACCAGAAATCTGTTTTAAGGACCTAGTTTGGGTAACAAAAATAGAGGAGACCGAACAGCCTGCAACTTGCTGACTTCTATGGCAGTGAGAAACTCCCCCAGGCCACAACCAACGAAACGCCGCGTGGGAGCGGGTCCCCCCGCGCCCCACTGTCTATCTGGCCCCCAGGTCCTTGCACAACGCCCACCGCTGGTGCCGGCGCCTTCCCCAGAAGCGCTCGGTCTGCCCGAGAATCCCCCCGCCCCAACATGCAAACCACGAAAACTTAGATTGGCTGGTGCAGATGTCATCCCTGTCGGCAGATTTCAGGTAACTTTCCACAGCGAGGGGGTTACAGCATCCGCCGTAGCCGAGGTTGCGGTTTCACTTCCACTCTCACCCCGGCCTGCCAGCCCCAGACCCCACCTTGCCAGCTGCGTGTCAGCCGTTCCCCCTCCCCAAAGCAGCTCGTTTGGGCCTCGACCTGTCCGGGGGCGGCGAATCGTTGCGGACCCAGGGGCCTGTCAACCCCCATTTCCCTTGCTCCCGGACGCGCCGGAGTCGGGACCTGCGGTGTAAACAGCCTCGTACGCACCTTGCCAGACAACAGCTGGGCTCCACGTCGGCTGTTCCTGGGGCGCGTTCCGGCTCCACCATGCTTCTCACCACGGCCTCAGCAGCCGGGCCCCATCCTGCCGCCGCGCTCAGCCCCTGCGGCAGGGCGGCGGCTCCGGCCGGCCGGCCAGCGATGCTTCCCCGCGGCGCGTGCGGGCCGGATCTCACCGCCGGGGGAGCGGAGCGGTCTCTTCAGGGGAGCTGGGGGGGGGGGGGGGGGGCGATGGTCCCAGTCGCGGCGGGGAAAAGGGACGGAGGGCTGGGCGGAGGCGCCTCCGCCCCTCGCAGGAGACTCCCTGGCGGCTCGGCCACCTCGACCCGGCGGCGGCCGCTTCTCCTCACCGGCCGGGTCGAGCTGCCCAAGAGCGGATCTCAAAGAGCGCGGGGGGTCGGCGGCACCAGCCTCGCCGCCGGCGGGAGCCGCCGCCGGGACATGCTGGCGGGAAAAATTGCCCACTTGTTGGCCTCGCGCTCTGGGGACAGTCGCCCCGCGCCGCCCGTGCGCCCCCTCCTCGCGCTGCGCTGCCCGGCGCGCGGCCCCCTCCTCCAGCCTGCCACTGAGGCAGGCGGCGCGAGAGCGAACGACTCGGGGAGGTCGGGCTCCGGACCCGGCACTCTGGCCGCGCGCTCGGTGGGAGGGGAGAGAGGCGCTGGCACCGCGGCTCTCTAAGCCCCGCCTTCCAGCCTGCCTTCCTAGCCAATGAAAAGATTCCATCAACGGGGAGGGGGTTGCGGAGGCTCCTGAAGTCGTGGGAGGGGGGGGCGCGGGGACGAAGGGAACTTTGGGAGGGGGAGGAAAGTTCGCTCCGTGCCCGGCAGCCGCGATCGTCTTTGTGTTTGACGTATTTTACGGACAAAGAAAAAGCCGGGTGGTTGGGTGTGCAGAGAAACGGAAAGGAGGAGGGAGGCCTGGACTTTGCCCATGCCCCGCCTGGGTTGTTCATTCACGCCAGAGCCAGGGGCCCTGTTTCCTTCTGCTCCCTACAACTGCGGGCACGCCGCTACCTGTCCTGCTCCTGGGCCCTGAGCAAAGGTGCTGGGGTGTTTGGGCAAAGCCCTGCATCATTGGGGAGCCTCCCAGCGCCTCATGTCCCTGACACGGGGTCTCGGCACGCTGGCACGCGTCTCCCTCCCTGGAGCCTGCCAGGCTGTGCGCTCCCCGAGCTCCCCAGGTCTCCATCACAGGGCCCAGCATCACCGTAGGACCCGGTGTTGCTGACTCTTGCAATTTTATTGCAAGGCTTGTGCTCATCGTTGTTTTTCTTAAAGCCTCAGCTGCTGGGATGAAGCGACTCTCACCTCTTCTCCCGCGCCCCCAAGTTGCTAGCCCTCCCCGTTGCAGAGAAAAGCTTGAACACACCGACTGCGTGCCCCTTAAAGGCTCGGAAACCAGATGAAAATAACCCAACATTGGTTATTTACAAATAGTCTCCGGGGTTTTAACTGAATCTCATGATTTTGGGGATCTGACGCCTGATTTTTGATCACCTGGGCTTGGCAATACAGAGGACCCACCCTATGTCTGATGTCACAGCACGATGGCATTGCCGCACCAGGGCCTTATCTCTCTGACCCTGTTCCACAGCCCAATAATACCTCCACGTGCGGGGCCCAGCATCATGGCAGTACCCTCCCCATCCTCACACTCCTGTCATCACAGCACAGACGTTTCCACGGGGGGTGCGTATCTGCTCAGCATCCCTGTGTGCCTGACTCTACAATACACCCAATGGGATCCCCCACGCCACACATCAGCCCCTCCTCAGACCAGTCTCAGGGCCCTGACTGTACCTACTTGTTGCACTTCTCAGACCTGCCTCCAGAATCTCATGGCCTTCCCTGTGGTAGCTACAGGAATACAATAGTGGGAGTGGGGAAGACAGAGAGATGATACTGTTCAGACAGACAGAAGTGAAGATAATTCTTGATCTCTTGACATCCCTCATTCCTCAGAATCCCATGAAGTAGGTGAACATTTATTAGTTTTTTGGACATAAAATAAATTTCTTTAAGAACATAAGAATGGCCATACTGGGTTAGACCAAAGGTCCATCCAACCCAGTATCCTGTCTACCGACAGCGGACAATACCAGGTGCCCCAGAGGGAGTGAACCTAACAGGTAATGATCAGCGATCTCTCTCCTGCCATCCAGCTCCACCATCTGACAAACAGAGGCTAGGGCCACTATTCCTTACCCATCCGAATAGCCATTAATGGACTTTCATATCCATTTCTTCTGTTATGCAGCCAACAGACACCCTATGGACAGATAACTGATACGGAGTGATCTGAATTGCTTGGTAAACTGTGCACAAGCAAATAATATGTTTTCATACAGCTAAATGTAAATATATACTCTATTCTGGGAGGCTGTGACTGAAAAAGATGTAGCAGTCCTGGTGGAAAACCAGCTGAACATGAGTTCCCAGTTAATGCTTTGGCCAAAAGGGCTAATGCGATCATTGGATGCATAAACAGGGAAAGGTCACGTCAGGGTAAAGAGGGGTAAATTTTACCACTGTATTTGGTATTGGTGCAACTTCTGCTGGAATACTGCATCCAGTTCTGGTGTGCACAATTCAAGAAGGATATTGATAAATGGAGAGGGTTCAGAAAAGAGCCATGAGAATGACAAAAGGATTAGAAAATATGCCTTATAGTGATAGACTCCCGGAGCTCAATCTATTTAGTCTAACTGAGAGAATGTTAAGGGGTGACTTGATCACAGTCTATAAGTACCTGCATGGTGAACACATAATGGGTTCTTCAGTCTAGAAGACAAGGGTATACATGATCCAATGGCTGGAAGTTGAAGCTACACAAATTCAGACTAGAAATAAGGCATATATTTTTATCAGTGAGGGCAATTAACAACTGAAAAAAATTACCAAGGGATGTGGTAGATTCTCCATCATTGGCAATTTTTAAATCAAGATTGTGGATTTTTTTTTTTTAAATCAGCTCACTCTAGTTCAAAAGGAATTATTTTAAGGAAATTCTATGGCCTGTGTTTTGTAGAGAAGGTATAAAAATGTCAGCCTGAACAGCTAAAGTTTTAAACAACTGAAAAAAAGGGTTTCATAATGGAAAACATCAGGTACCCTTAATAATAGGTGGCACTGCCAGCGCTGCCTATAAATAACACATACACAGACAACTTTTTTGTTGTTAAAATTCATGACAGACTGTGTCTTGTTTACTTACATTCTTGTTGCTTTTCTTATAATTAATATTGTAAATAATTGTCAGAAACTTAGTCTGATGGATCAGTCAGTAACTGGTTAAAAGATAGGGGGAAAAAAGTAGGAATAAATGGTCAGTTTTGAGAATGGAGAGTGGTAAATAGTGGTATCCCCAAGGCTCTGTACTGGGACCAGTTCTGTTCAACATATTTATAAATGACCTGGAAAGGGGGTAAACAGTGGGGTGGCAAAATTTGCAGATGATACAAAACTACTCAAGATAGTTAAGTTCAAAGCAAACTGAAGAGTTACAAAGGGATCTCACAAAACTGGAGATGTCTGGGCACCAAAATGGCAGATGAACTTCAATGCTGATAAATGCAAAGTAATGCACGCTGGAAAACATAATCCCAACTGTACATATAAAATGATTGGGTCTAAATTAGCTGTTACCACTCAAGAAAGAGATCTTGGAGTCATTGTGGATAGTTCTCTGAAAACATCCACTCAATGTGCAGCAGCAGTCAAAAAAGCTAACAATGTTGGGAATCATTAGGAAAAGGATATGTATCATATGCCTCTATATAAATTCATGGTATGCCCAAATCTTCAATACTGCATGCAGATGTGGTTGCCCCATCTCAAAAAAGATATATTGGAATTGGAAAAGGTACAGAAAAGGGTAACAAAAATGATTTGGGGGTATGGAACAGCTTCCAAATTAGGAGAGATTAGTAAAACTGGGATTTTTCATCTTGGAAAGGAGACCCCTAAAGGGGGGATATGTATAATAGAGGTCTATAAAATCATGACTGGTGTGTAGAAAGTAAATAAGGAAGTATTATTTACTCCTGCTCATAGCACAAGAAGTAGGGGTCACCTAATGAAATTAATGGGCCACAGGTTTAAAACAAACAAAAGGAAGTATCTCTTCACACAACCTGTGGAACTCCTTGCCAGAGGATGTCGTGAAGGCCAAGACTATAACAAGGTTCAAAAAAGAACTAGATAAGTTCATGGAGGATAGGTCCATCAGTGGCTACTAGCCAGGATGGGCAGAGATGATGTCCTGAGCCTCTGTTTGCCAGAAGCTGGGAATGGGTGATAGGGGGTGAATCACTTGATAATTACCTATTCTGTTCATTCCCTCTGAAGCACCTGGCATTGGCCATTGTCAGAAGACAGGATACTGGGCTAGATGGATCTTTGGTCTGACCCAGTGTGACCATTCTTATGTTCTTATGTAGTCATGCTGAAATGCTACAGCACTGGAAATTTTGCAATATTTTGGATGGAAAATATTTTTGTCTATATTATATGAAACTTAGATATAACAATAACAATCAAATATTCACCCTTTACAAGATTCACCCAGTAACAATCAAATATTCACTTTTTTTTTTTTTTTTAAAGGGAGTAATCCCTGTTGTCGTCCTGGGCTGCATCTCCCTAAAGACAAAGACTGCTTCGATTGTTTCCCTGAGTACGTATCTCCCCATTAATGTTTCTATTAGCTCCCGTCATCTCACTCCTTATTGAATATATTCCAGTTATTTCCATGACTCTAACTTCTGTAGTGAAAGTGAGGGGATTTCTGTCATCTCCATAGGCCACTCCTCCATATAAGGATGCGGGAGGATGCAATTGGCTCCATTTCATGCAAATTAGATATGGTCCTCAGGCTCCCATGTTCTGATCGTGCACCACTGAAATCCATGGGACTTTTGCTACTGATTTCAATGGGAATAGGAGTGGGGACACAGTAAGTTACCATTGACACCTTCAATTGGGCAATATTTGAGAGTTCCAGATTTTGGAGACTTGCCATCATAAACCAATGGAAATCCTATGTGACTCACTAGTGTATTGAGGGAGACAATGTGGGTGAGGTAAAATCCATAGGTGGTGGGGGAAGCTAGCTCCCTGTCCCGCCCGTTATTCTGCCCGCGGCCTCACCCACCATCTGCCCCTGCTTGGCCCCAGGCCCTGCCACCGCTCGGCACCCCCGCCTCTGTGTCCCTCCTCTTCTCCCCCCCCACCCGCGAGGCCGCCATTAACCTGCCACGTCCCTCCTCTCCACCCCCTCCCCTGTGACCCCACCGCTCATCATATCCCTCCTCACCCCTCCCGCAAAACTCCCCTGTCTGCTGCGTCCCTTCTCTCCTCTACCCCTCCCGGTGATACCACCCTGCTTGCCGCATCCCTCCTCACCCCTCTCTCCTAAGACCCCGCCACTCACTGCTTCCCTCCTCGCCTCCACCCCCACTCCTGCGAGACCCCTCTGCTCACCACATCCCTCCTCGCCCCTCGCCCTCACAAGACCTCTGGCCACTCGCATCATCCCTCCTCACCCCTGCCGCTCGCCGCATCCCTCCTCATCCCCCCTTCCTGGCAAAACTCCCCTGCCTGTTGCATCCCTTCTCTTTCTCTCCCTCTACCCGCAATACCACACTGCTCACCGCATCCTCCTCACCCCTCTCCCATGAGACCCCCCCAGCTCACCGCATCCCTCCTCTCCTCCCTCTTCCACCTGAGGCCCCCCCACCTGCCATGTCCTTCCTCACGCCCCATCCCGTGAGACCCCCCCTGCCTGATGCATCTCTCTTCTCCACCCTTTCGCCCCTGAAGTCCCCCCGCCTGCTGCTTGCTGCATCCCTTGTCACCCTCCACCCCTGTGAGATTCTTCGGGTCTGAGAAAGGTACTCACAGTGACATGATGATAAATACAAGGCGGAACAGATTGTTAAGCACAAGAATAAGCAAATCACTGGTGTACTGTAACTTTTCTCTTATTTCCCATGCTGATGAGACTACAAACACTGACCAGTGGGCCATACAAAAAAGTAAGAAATCTTTCAGATTGAAGCTGCTGACCGTAATAAAACACAAAAATGTCCATGAGTAGCAAAGGCTGGTAAGGCCTCACTTCGTTAGACCTCATTCTAATGCTCTTACAGGCATGACATGGCAAGACCAATTTCAGCATATATACGTACATATATATATATTATTTTTTTCATATTGGTCAGCTGCAGATACATTTAGTGCTTTGAAGGAGTGTCAGTGTGGCAGCTGGTTTGCTTACATAGGGAGGGAAGGGAATGCAGGTTTGCGGAGGGGGGGTGTATCTTATTTTATTTTAATGTTGCATTCTTGATCCAGCCTACGGCAGAAGCCCAGATTTTTTTTTTTAATGCAAGCATCTTTCTCAGAGTCACTAGGCACAATCATTTTTAAAATGCATTCACATTTTCCAAGAAACATGCATGCTCCAGTGGTCTACAAAAATAGCAAGTACACACTTGTACACCCTCTATTGTGTGGCATGTTCAGTTACCAGAAGCTCCTTAAATCAAGGCACTAAGAAAAGAATCGGTACTGAAGTACGTGACTATAAGTATGATTAATTAAGAACCCATTGCAAGAGGATCCATAATGCACTTACAACTCCCCAAATCCTGTTCCAGTAGGTATTGCACTCCATCTTAAAACTTGCAATGGATTCTCTTTGGTTGCTCCAAAATTCTGGTGAGGAATCTAGAGGTAGTGTCCTCAGGATATTACCTATTGCAGCCCCATTGAAACATTTCTGTATGTTTTTTAGTCTTTGGGAGTAAAAAGATTAGGCTATGCAGAGGTATACCTCTGGCCAAATGAGTGTCATTGACATTTAAATTCAAAAGGGAAGCTCCAGACCGAGCTGAAATCAAGTGTGAGGGTTTGCTGTACTGCAGGTTTCATTTTTATCATTTTGAGTTGTTAGAAAAATTGGGAAGGAAAAAAACAGACCTAAATAAAACTGTGCCTACCCAACACTGGTTCCCAATAGTCTGAAGTCTCTCTATAATGCAATGAAAACCTTATACTAACTGGTTTCAGAGGAACAGCCGTGTTAGTCTGTATTCGCAAAAAGAAAAGGAGTACTTGTGGCACCTTAGAGACTAACCAATTTATTTGAGCATGAGCTTTCGTGAGCTACACGGTAAACATCTGATGAAGTGAGCTGTAGCTCACGAAAGCTCATGCTCAAATAAATTGGTTAGTCTCTAAGGTGCCACAAGTACTCCTTTTCTTTTTGCTTATACTAACTGTGATTCCTCCATAAGTGCTCCTGAATCCCACTAGCCTGGAAGTATCATAGAATATCAGGGTTGGAAGGGACGTCAGGAGGTCGTCTAGTCCAACCCCCTGCTCAAAGCAGGACCAATCCCCAAGTAAGGCACTGATCTTGAACTTGTCTCTCACCCCACTCCTTATACAGCCTAAAAACTAGATCAACCCCCAAATCTGTTCTTTAGCGATAACAAAAGCACCCCAGATATTACTTTGTTTTTTTCTATATCAGACTTTCAGATAACATCTTTTCCCTCAAGAGAAAAAATCAGTAGAATTAATCATTGTAATGTTGAGGGATGACATCTTTTGGTCACAGAGGAGAGCCCCACTCTCCTCCCCGCCCTGCGCAGAGCCGCTCACCTGAGCCCTGCTCTTCCCCCACCTCCCCACTGCGCAAAGCCCCTCTCTCCCCTCTTCCCCCACACAGGGCTGGCCCGAGCACAGTTGCTCGCTCCCTTCCTTCCCCCCCCCCCCCGAGCCCCTTTTTGGCAAAACTGATGATCACCTGGCAAGAGCAAATGGGACAAGTGCCCAGTTTTGCCAAAAAAAGTCAGGATGTCCAGGGCAGGGCTTAAAAATGGGACTTCCCCAGCCAAAATGGGACATATAGTCACCCTAGTCTGTAGTAAGAGCTGCCCAGGGAGCCCAAGCAGCTTGGGGAGCCCCGAACTCTACATCTGCCCTGGGTGGGGAGTCAGGGGGCCTGAGAGCAGCCCCCGGCACATGTCCCTGCCCCCCATGGCGTGCCATCCAGGCTGGTGGAAGGTCCTGGGATCCCCACAGCAGCCCGGGCTCCCTGCACAGCTCTTACCATAGCCTGGATTCCAGCCAGACCTGGGGGAAAGGGAGGAACAGGGGGTAAGGCCCTGTGGTGGGGGGTCTCAAATGTTCTTTGTGCTCAGTAAATCTTAATCTGCCTCTGATTATAGATTTCAGTTCCTGTTGCTGGAAGAGGCCAGTCTGATGACTAATGGTCCCATGATCATTATGATCATAAGCCCTTATGAGAAATATATTTCTGATTTTAATATAATTTGAATGACCCACATTACAGGCCCCTCGCTGTCTATTTTAGGGGTTTCTATACCTCTCATCACTGTAATATCTCATACAGATTACTCAGCTCCAACAGTCTCTCTTTCAGAATTTTAGCTAGGCTATTATACCACATTCATCACCATGGTATCTAAGCGCCTTAAGACATGGGGTTACATTGTGGCATTTAGCCAAAGCCTGCCACAAGGGACAATATGGGAGTGTCCGTAGCTCCCCAGTTGCACTGGAGAGACAGCACTTCCAACCCCACACCCCTTTAAAAGAATACAACATACTATCCCATGCACATAGAGGCTCTGTCTACTTCCCACCCCTTTCAGGGCTGTTGACAGCCTCTGTACTTCCCAAATGCAGGGCTGACAATTCTGGTTGCCCTTCATACAGGCTATGCAAGAGTTCCAGTCATTCGTGCAGCATCCATGTTTTTGGATGGTGAGATGGAAAAATGATGTTAAAGACTAAATTTTTGTGATGGAACAGAAGGATTTCTGGGAATTTGACCCTAAACTCCCACAAGTCACCGAGAGGAGTGATGGCATCCCACAATACGTAGCAGCAGTCCCACAATACACTGCAGAAATTTCTCACAAGGCAATGCTCCAGATGGTAGCGCAGAGGACGCGGGGATGCCTACTACAGCACCATTTGTCTTCTGTCAGTGCAACCTGATGTTGTGAAGACACACTGCAACAGCAAAGACAGCCATATGTGAACACATTGTGACAAAAGGAGCTATGTCAGCAGCTGTATGCCAGCAAAACTTTTGCCAGTAAAAATGTCTAATCGCTTTCTAGTTTCTAGGTCTTAGTTTACTTGTAGCTGCTATTACATGGTGTAGTTACAAACTTTCAGCCCCAATATCTTGCACGGGCACACAGGTATACAACTACAGTATTTTAGTCATGACTGTAAATTACTATCCCATAATGAGAAAATATCTAGACATGTGGAAGCATAGTATGTCATGGACAGAAGCAGATGCTTCAGCACATTGCAAGAAAAATGAAGTTGGTTTCAACAACCTTAATTTCATGAATATAAAGAATAATCCTCTGTCCATTAAAATATACACACTTCTAAAATACTATTGGAAGCAAGGCCAATTTCAATAAAGCACAGAAATACTGTACACAAGATATTATGTGATATGGCATTGAGCTGAAAATCTGTGTAGAAACACAAAGTTGCAGAAACCTTGCTGGAAAAACTTTAACTGAAAATCATAAATAACTTCAAATAAAACAGTCATTAGGCACATCAAAAGACGAGAATGGGCAAAGTAATTGGAATTTATAAACTTACATAATTATTTTTTCTTTGTAGGGAGAACAAACATTCCAATGTCCCAGCTCTGTCAGGGTCTTTGACAATTAGACTCCTTTTTATAAATATATTATGTAAGTTTATAAATTTCAATTAGTGCTTGTCCTTGTGTCTTGCAGCCTAAGTATGTTTTCATTTTGGGTTATTATTCAGACAGTGGATGGAACCGTTTTCCTTGGTGCATCTATAAGGTGATTTCGATGAAAATCCTTTTAACAAAATTAAAAAAAATTGGATTATAGTTTGACTACTAAGATTCAGGAAAAGAAACATGAATTTGCTTTTACACTGCAGAGTTCAATAGAATATGTCTATACGATAGAGTGATAGATCAATAGATTCTATACGTAACAGAGTTACCCTATCCAAGGGTGGGCATTCTGAATGTATAAATAACTGTACTACTATGAGTTCAAGATTATGCTATATATCATTTATATTAATTTCCCCCTACTTTTGCAGTAAGGTCTCAGATTTGACCTACAGCCTTGATATTACAAAGTACTTGATCCTGAATCTGCAAAACATAAGCATGTACTTAATGAGTTGGCTCATATCCTTAGGTGGTGTAAATTAGCATAGCTCCGTTAACTGAAGTAGACTACTCAGATGCATAGGGTTAAGCATATGCAGGATCAGGCAACAAACATGCAAATATGCAGTGATTTGGTAGATTTACCAGCATTTACCAGGCTAAATCTCATTGGCAGAATTTGTCAATTTCTAAAATTTGATTTATTTATTCACCATGAGCATATCCATTCCTTAGAGGTCTTGTTCCACTAAAGTTCCCTGAAGAAAACTTATAATTTACTTATTCTGATTATGCCAGAGTTCTTAACTTAAGCTCTAAGCACATAAAATCAGTCTTCAGTTAAATTCATTATTCAGTTACCCATGATATAATGTTAATATTAAAACATGGTGTTCAGTATATTATTTTATTTGCCTATGCCCTGTTTTTTCCTGTGAAAGTTTACTTCATGATTATTTCATAAAGAAATTAGATTTTTCTGTTATTCTTTTATTTATATTACTTATGGTAAAAACAAAAGTCTAATTTTTTTACGAGTCGTGTAATAGCTTGATAGTTTAATGTCCAACACTGGTAGGGTTAGCAGACAGAAGCACAAATGTCAGGGAGAGGTTTGAACCCTGGTACAATGGGGCTACATTCTTTCTGCTTTAACTGAAAGGCAAATTTACAATTGTCTACCTCAACTGTAAAATTTCACCCTGTAAACCATATTCCAAGGTATTGATCTTGCACCAAGTCAGAGGGACTTTTGGCTTTGATTCCAATTGTAGCAGGAGAGGGGCCCAGGAGGGACCAAAGTGTGGTTCCCATCCCAAGCTGCCTGCAGCTTTCCATACCTGTTAATACCACTCTAACTCAATACTGCAGCAGGAGAAATGTTCCTACCACTGGTTCTCAGGACCCATGAGTGAGAGGAGGTGATAAGGAACAAGGGGTACAAAATGAATGAAGAGGAAGAGTGAGTCAGTCAAGAGGGAAGAGGGAAAAGAAATAAGTAAATGAAGGGATGGGACAAAGTCAGAGGGGAAGGGAATGAGAGTGAGGGTCAGTGTGTGAGTAGGTTTTTAATTTGTGTTTGGTCAGCTATTCATTTCATACAAAGGACAAAATCAGAGGGACCACACGGGACCTCTGTATGCATGTGTTTCATTTGTGTATGTGCATGGATACACACACACACACACACACACTTACTAATCTATCTGTGGAATTCAAACAACAGGAAATTATCAAGGCAAATAGTTTGACAGAATTCAAAGCAGTTTCATGAAAATGAATACATTTGTACCTGCACCTGCTATAATAGATCGAAAAGATCTAAGGGAAGTCAATTAAGTTTTATACTTTAGAGGTAGGCTGATGGTCTGCAAGGGCTGAGAAGGAATTTTCCAACCCTTTGTTACAACACTGCAAAAATCAGACAGGTGCTCTATCAGCTGCCTTCCTTTGCAGCATCAGGTATTGGCCACAGCTGAAGGCAGGACACCGAACTTGTTGGACCAATAGTCTGCTCTGGTAAGTAACTCCTACAGCATGTTCCTAAGCAAAGAAGGAGTCAGCACCTTGAGGCAGTGCAATATGTCAGTGAGACAGAGAGAGGCGGCCTGGGACAACTGCAGCTCAGAACTTCAATTTGTAATGACTGTCTGACTCACAAGCCAAAATGTTGGTGGTGTTTTGCTTTACTGAAGCTACTCAGGAATCTCAAAGGCTTAGTAAGATATCACTTTCTCCAGTGAGAAGGCTGCACTCTTAAGCACTTGCCAGGCCTTTTGGAAGCTTCTAAACATAACTAAAAGCTTGTTCTGCACATTTCAATGGCTCATTTTTGTTGTTGACAGAAATGTCTGTTCTCAGTCCAAGAATTTCCAGAGTGCTGCCATTTTGAATCTCTGTATAATTCTCCACAAATGACTAATTTTCCTTGGTGTCCCATAACAAAAACGAACAAAAAAAGAGAATTTTGAGAATTTTAGGGCAATGATGGCATCCAACAGATTCCTGACATTGGATATTTTAAAAATCTAAGTTATTGTTGAGAGTTGGAGGCTTTTGCTGGTGCTCCAACAAACCTGAATTTGATCCAGTACATTTTTTTCCCTAAAAGTGACCTATTGTCTCACCTTCTAAGATAGCCAGCAACAGATTCTATTGCCTTATGTTTTCCTAGGATGTAGCTTTTAGAGCCTTGCTGTAAAATGCTGGTAGAGTGATATGATACCACTGAATGGAGGTGAACAGAATAGCACTTCAATAGGAGCCTTGACAGTGAAGGAAATACAGCTTTACCAGGCCTCATAACATACAGGCATGTTTTTTGTTTAAAAAGGAATTCTTGTCCTATGTCTACTTGTGAAACAGTTACTTTTCAAGTGGATTTTATTCAGTCCTCTTGCCAGCACTGCTGGGTTTTATATTTGCATGTAAATAGGACCCTTTCTGAAAAAAACATTAGTTACAGTATCTTTCTCCTGGTGAGGGCAGGTGGGGAAGTCTCTTTGGGTCAAGGAAAGCCTAGTCAGGGTCAGTGTAGGAAACACATTATCCAGGTCCACCCAGTTCAGGGAGTAGTTAGGTAGCCTAAGGGCATCTAATCAATGAAAACCCAAACTAGGTCCACCTACATCTTGTGAAGTCCAGCCTGAGTTGGACAGCAGGGTTGAGTCTCTTACTATAAACTAAGAGTTCAGCCAGGTATCAAAATCACACGTGAATAGGTATCTCCCTTTCTCTTGCACTCTTCAGCTGTCTCTTTCTACCTCCAGTCCCTTGGTTGCTGTTCACTATGGCCCCATTTTGCCATCCTTAATGCTTCAGAAATTAGGAGCAAACTTCATCCCTGACGTATGTGCTGGAATTTGGGGTGCTACTTCAAGCATTCGTTATGGCTTGAAGTAGTAATAACAACCCAAATACATAGTTTCCGCCGTCAGCACCATAGGCACCGACTTCCCCTCTTTCCCATGGGGGCTCGACCCCCAATCTGCCTCTGGCCCCACCCCTACTCCACCCCTTCCATCTGGCCCTGCCCCGTCCCCATTCCAACCCCTTCCCCTAACTCTGCCCCCCCCGCCAATATTCCAACTCATTCCCCAAATCCCGTCCCTGCCCTAGCCCCGCCTTCTCCCCTGAGTGCGCCATGTTCCCGCTCCTCCCCCCATCTCCTGAAGTGCGCTAATGCTGCCAAACAGCTATTTGGCGGTGGCTGGGCAGGAAAGGCTGGGAGGTAGGTGGAGGAGCAGAGACGTGGTGCGCTCAGGGGAAAGGCAGGAGGAGGAGGTGGGGTGGGGCAGGGGAGGTATGGGGAGCTTGGCTGCCTGTGGGTGCACAGCACCCACTAATTTTTCCCCTTGGGTGCTCCAGCCCTGGAGCACCCACAGAGTCAGCACCTATGGTCAGCACCCCTACTATAAAAATTGTTCCAGCCCCACTGAGCCTGAGTGACGACTACACTGACTGCCTTGACTTTAATGGAGTTACCACAGCGATTAAGTTAGTCTATGAGACTTTGACCTTCACTCTGATGCTACTGGACAAAGCAGAGTTGAACAAGTTGTATTAGCAAGCTAGTCTAGGAAACAATTTTGCAGTATTTGCTCTGATTACATTGGTTTGGAGAGAAAAATCATTGTGTGAAGAGCCAGCTAACATATTTTGTTTACATACCTAACTAACTGACAAATCCTAATTAACTTCAGGAATGAAAGGATCTTTCCCAGTTTGAAGTCTATACCAAAACCTTAGAGCTGAATGAGTTTTTATTCCCGGTAAAACTGAATTTCTTTAGCTTAAATTATTTGTCTTATTTTTAAACTATACTTTTATTGAGGAATCACTGGCTAAAATGAGTGGGCCAAGTTCTCTTCCCTCTTACACCGGGGTAAAATTGGAATAACTCCTAAAGTTGCTATGGAGTTATTTCACTGATTTTTTTTTTTAATTCCTTGAGACAAATGAAAGACAATATCATCTAATCCCCAAATCTATGTCTATGAAAATTAAAAAACAAACTGAGGCCAAGATTTTCAAAATATGAGCCTTAAATTAGGCTCCTAAATCCATAAATTGGGTCCCTTGTTTAGAAATGCTGAGCAATCGAATACTTCCAGTGAAATCACTGGTTATTAATGTTTAAAAATCGGGTCCCTTATTTAGGTGCCTAAATATGGATCTAGTAACCCAATTTTAGGCTTCTGGTTTTTAAAATCTTGTCTCTCTGCCCCAATAATGCAATCTCACCAGACAGACAGATTGTCTGTGTAAAGCCCCATTCACTTCAGTGGAACTCCACACAGGCATAATTGTCCACCCATGAAAATGAGACTGTAGAATCGGGCCTAAATCAAATACAGATTTAGCATGGTAAAGTTACTCCAGGTTTACATTGCTGTGACTGAGGAGATTGACTCAATGACCAGTAAGTATATAATTTGCAAAAGATTGTTTTAGCATAGGTTTGTTAAATATTTCACATGCATGTATTTCAATATGCACATATTTCCATAACAACACTTTCATTGCAGTTGGATCGTCAGTTCTTTGGGGCAAGGACTATCTTTTTTGTTCTGTTCATAGAGCATCTAGCGCAATGGGCTGTGATTCATAATTGGGGCCCCGAGGCACTAACATAATACATATAAATAAATAATAATAGATATCCAGGCAACTGGTGTACAACAGTTAGCTCTTTGGGGCAGGCATGATCTTTGTATTAAGTGTTTTACAGTGTCCAGTACAATGGGTCCCATATCTTTTATTGGGAGCCCTGAGGCACAATGACAACGCAGATAATAATATAGTGTTGTATAAGTTTCCCTTCTTGAAAATTCCCTGGAAAATGTGGCGGGAGAAGGGGGAGCGATGTGATGAAAATTTCCTGATAGTCACAAAGCTGGACAAACAATAACAAAGTGCATTTTGACTATGCAAAATCATATCCTATATTTGTAGTAGATTATTTGGTTTTATTACCTTTTGTTTTTAAAATAGACTTAGTGATTTGGTCTGTATTCTCTTTAATTTGTCTCAAAGATTTTAAAACCCTCCACCCCTCATCACACCTTTGATTTCCTGCCCAGAGTTTTATTTATCTTGTCTCAGATTATAAACTCTTCAGGGTGGATGACATATCTAAATCTGTGTTTGTAGAGCAGACTGTACATTTCTGGTATGATATCAGTTATTAATTATAAATAACTAGAGATAAGCCTAGGGCACACAGTTCAGATTAAGCAATGAACTTCCCCAAAAGTTATTTTGAGTTGAGTTTTTGGTTCAGCTCTATCCTTAATACAGACCAAGAAATGTTCTTGTAATGAAACTAGCTCACCTGTTAAAAAAGCCAACTAGATCTATTCAAGAAGAGGTGTGGTTATTATTAATTGTCAGTCTTGTGACTTGAAATAATGAGACACAGGGCCAAATTCTTCAGTCCACTGACCACAATGGACTTGTGCCAGGGTGGAATTTGAACCATATACTCTATGTGAAGCTGTTTTCCTATAGTATTATAGATAAACAAATTCAATATTGGAATTACAGGTTCTCTATGATGTAAACTACAGATCTGCTTTTGTTCCTGAACAGGTAGCAAGCAAAGCAGATTGGTGAATAATTTATTTCCTGGTTGCCAGGAAACATGGATTTATTCCATATCTCACCTCTTCCCTTTTTCAAGAGCATGAGACTTTCTCAACATCTGTCCCTCCTTAATGGATTTCATGGTGCAGTAGGCAACTTAAGATCTGATGCTACAGAGTGTTGAGCACCCACAACTTCCATGGAAGTCAATAGGTGGCATGGGCGTGAACCACCCATTCGGAGAGGCTAGCCCCTGGCCCCACCCCTTCTGCTGAGGGCAGGCTCCTCCCCCGCTGGAGCCCAGAGGTTCCCCACTGCGGCCACAGGCCCCCCCGCCCCAGCCCCGGGCCTCCCAAGTGCCTGCAGCCCCAGAGTGCTAGGTAGGCAGCACAGTCCCAGCACCCCCTGCCCTGAAGCGTTGGGCAGGCGGCATGGCCCCAGTGCCCCCAGCCCCGGCGTGCCCAATCCCAGAGCACCAGGCAGGCGGCACGGCCCCAGCACCCCCGGCCCTGGAGCACCAGGTGGCTTGGTCCCCCAATGCCCCCAGCCCCGGGCGGCGCGATCACCAGCTCCAGCTGCCCCAAGTCCTGGCAGCAGGCTGGCTTGCCCTAGCCCCAGCGGAAGAGTGGAAACTGGAAGCAGTCAGGAGGGAACCTGGGGGCAGAGTGTAAGCAAGGCCACACCTGGCTATTTGGGGAGGCTCAGCCTCCCCTGGCCTGTGATACCTGCCGCCCATGTTGGATGCTCTCACTCACCACATTACCCTTTTAACCGCCCTAGTCCTTGATTCAAATGAAGTCTTAGGTCACAATCAGAATGAGTCTGGTGGTCTCTTTCAAGCTGTTTGTCAAGATATGTCCCCACTGTAAAGAGACTGACTAGCAGTCTCTGCAAAAAAGGGGTCTAGAATGGAGACTTGTGGCATGGCAGGACAGAGACACATTGGCAGATTTGTGTGTGGAAAATTTAGCATACCTACCCAGTGCTCCAGTCCCACGCCCTCCCTCTGAAAAGATAGGTGAATGGGTGGCTTAAAGGCAGCTTTCAGTATCCTTTCCATCCCTGGAAGCAGAGCCAAGAAACGGGCCATATGTGTCAGGATTGGATGAGCTGAATCTTTGGGAGACAACTGCATCTTCCTCATGCCTGAAATAGATGAAAAAAAAAATCTGGAGAGAGTCTAAGAACAAGTTTACACTTAAAAAGCTGCAGCTGTGTCACTGTAGCACTTTAGTGAAGACACTACTACACCAGCGAAAGAGTTTCTCCCATTGGCGCGGTTAATCCACGTCCATGAGAGGCGGGAGAGCTTCTTCCATCGACATAGTTCTGTCTACACTGGGGGCTAGGTCGGTGGAACTACATCTCTGAGGGGTGTGGATTTTTCACACCTCTGAGAGATGGAGTTATTCTGATGTAAATTTGTAGTGTAGAACTGGCATAAGCCTCATATATAACATAAAAAGAGGTTTTCAAAACGATGTTTCAAAGGAACTGAAGTCACCCATCACATTTGGGTAGATCAGCGTTTGCCCTGAAACTCTGGTCAGTCTTCCTGGAACACAATTGGTAGGGAGTGGCTGTGGATTTTGCAAGTGTTCACATTTAGAGATGTTTGCAGAAGATTATAGGCATAGGTGTACAAGACATTTTTGTCCAATAAATTTCCTTAAGGAGACATTTATTGCTTATTTTCAAAGTAACTGATTTGTCTTGCAGTTTGCACAATACGGTCTGGATAATTTAGCAGGATAACTGTCACTATCAGCACCAGACTTGGATAATCTCATATTAATACAACATGTGGCCAGGGTTGCCAAAAGGCCAGACCGATCAAAAATATGGGAGAAAAATTACATAACATGCTAACCAAAAGATTAACAATTTATCTGGGGCCGCAGAGCTCTACTCATACATAATGCTTTGCTCAGACATTTTGCTTTGACCAATGTGATCACCACAAAACTTTCTGTCCTTCCCTTCTGTCCATTCACACTTCCATCCTCTTCAGAAAACATTGTTCTTTCAAGAGTCCAAAATACTTTCAACATTCACCTTCCAGATCTCAAATTTTAATTGTAATCTCTGATATTGTCCATTACTTAATCTAGACCCTACATACACAAAGACTTTGTAGATGCAGGAACTGGTGCTTTAGTATGGGAAGTAGAGGAGTGAGTTAAAAAGCATTGTATTAGCCAACTGGGTTTTAAGAATTCAGGAAAATTATTTGCACCAAATTGTACACAGTGTTTTCTATTGCTTTGTGTAGCAGACTTAAAACAGAGCTCTCCAACTCCATAGACACCTAGACCTTTCACGTTGCCATTGGAAAAATGACAGACTTATTGCCCATATATAATATTCAGTAAAGCCACCCTCATTAGCCAATACACTGTCCTAGAAGACTGCCCCAAAAGCAGAACCAGCCCAGAAGCTGTGGCTTCCCTGCAAGCACAAGTGGTGCTCCCCAAGCCACACACAAGGCTGCAGGCAGCAGGCACTGGCTCAGAGCTTCTATTGACCACAGTACTGCTATCCCCAACCGTCAGGGGCTGCTACAAACACAGTAGCTGGTTCTTCCTCCTGGTCCCCTCTAGCCCTACACTAGCTCTCTCTCATATACAGATGTCAAAGCTCCATGTCCAAATTGTGTCGCCAGAAGATGGCCTCTGTAACAAGAGAGGTTAGGCATTGTAGGATGCCCTCCTGATGTTGGAGTGGGGTCTACCACCACAAGAGTTATTGTCTGCGACGCTGCCCAAAGTCACAGAGTGGGAAAGAAAACCAGGCCAAGCCGGTGCACAGTTGTGTTAGAATCATAGAATATCAGGGTTGGAAGGGACCCCAGAAGGTCATCTAGTCCAACCCCCTGCTCAAAGCAGGACCAATTCCCAGTTAAATCATCCCAGCCAGGGCTCTGTCAAGCCTGACCTTAAAAACCTCTAAGGAAGGAGATTCTACCACCTCCCTAGGTAACGCATTCCAGTGTTTCACCACCCTCTTAGTGAAAAAGTTTTTCCTAATATCCAATCTAAACCTCCCCCACTGCAGCTTGAGACCATTACTCCTCGTTCTGTCATCTGCTACAATTGAGAACAGTCTAGAGTCATCCTCTTTGGAACCCCCTTTCAGGTAGTTGAAAGCAGCTATCAAATCCCCCCTCATTCTTCTCTTCTGCAGGCTAAACAATCCCAGCTCCCTCAGCCTCTCCTCATAACTCATGTGTTCCAGTCCCCTAATCATTTTTGTTGCCCTTCGCTGGACTCTCTCCAATTTATCCACATCCTTCTTGAAGTGTGGGGCCCAAAACTGGACACAGTACTCCAGATGAGGCCTCACCAATGTCGAATAGAGGGGAACGATCACGTCCCTCGATCTGCTCGCTATGCCCCTACTTATACATCCCAAAATGCCATTGGCCTTCTTGGCAACAAGGGCACACTGCTGACTCATATCCAGCTTCTCGTCCACTGTCACCCCTAGGTCCTTTTCCGCAGAACTGCTGCCTAGCCATTCGGTCCCTAGTCTGTAGCTGTGCATTGGGTTCTTCCGTCCTAAGTGCAGGACCCTGCACTTATCCTTATTGAACCTCATCAGATTTCTTTTGGCCCAATCCTCCAATTTGTCTAGGTCTTTCTGTATCCTATCCCTCCTCTCCAGCGTATCTACCACTCCTCCCAGTTTAGTATCATCCGCAAATTTGCTGAGAGTGCAATCCACACCATCCTCCAGATTATTTATGAAGATATTGAACAAAACCAGCCCCAGGACCGACCCTTGGGGTACTCCACTTGATACCGGCTGCCAACTAGATATGGAGCCATTGATCACTACCCGTTGAGCCCGACAATCTAGCCAGATTTCTACCCACCTTGTAGTGCATTCATCCAGCCCATACTTCCTTAACTTGCTTAACTCTGTTAACAAGTTAACAAGTTAACTTGTTAACTCTGGTTGAGCCAGAAAGTAGCCTGTCGAGCCTGGTCCAGGATCTACAATCAAGGGGACAAGGAGGCAAGTGCGCAGTGATGGACTCCTGAATTTAATTAATGCATTAGACTCTCTTTCACACCGATGCTTCCACTCTGTAAGGATATCACTTGTGGATCCCTGATGACACAGATCGTCTGTGCATGGCAAAGGGCCAGTAGCACTCGTGTCCAGGAGTGCATGCTGTAGCAAAGGGATGTCGAAAGATCAGCCATAATGTCACACCACAGTCTTCAGGAGTGGGATTCCTCCCTTGAAGGCGAGCAGACTTTCAAGTTGGCACTGCAGGTTGGTCCCTGTGTGAGAATGGGGCATCAGTCAACCGGAGATGTAACAGATTGGTTCTAAGCAGACTGAACAGTAATAGCATCGGTCCTTTAGTCATTTATACATCTTTATTGGCACGGGAGTTTGCCCCAGCGAATACTGCTCTGCAGTATGGGGGCACAGCTGCTGCATTCAGCTTGTCGACATGGCGCTGAGTTTGACCCATCGTATTATTCGTGGCTGTTTGAACTATATACCAACCTTCCATCGGTACGCACCAGGGCACATAGCTCTGCCAGACCCTTGATGAGGTGCTGTTACTGTTAAGTCTGCTTGGAGAGCTGCAGCAGAAAAAACCCATTCAGGCAAGCCATGCAGGGCAGCGGAGATGGCATTTGCTTGCTTGCATGGGGACATTGAGCAAGAACATGCACCAAGCAAAGGAAGTGAGAGAGGTGGAGGAGTGGGCATGGGGGGCAGATGGGAAGGGAAGCAAGGACTGAAGGAGCAGCAGGATTTGGGGAAGTAGGGGGAGAGAGGCTGGAGTGGCAGCAAGAACTGTATTAAGGAGTAGGTGGCTCAGTGTGTGTACACAGGTCCAGAGCTGATCTTGGCTACATGCCAAATAGTTGATAGTTGATGCAGTTAAGGGGGTGAGGGGCTTGTCTGTGTATAACAATAATAATTCCTAGCTCCTCATTGGTTGATCTCAAAGCACTTTACAAAGTAGGTAAATGTCATCAGTTCCATTTTACAGAGGGAGAAACTGAGGCACAGAGAGGTGAAGTGACTTGCCCAAGGTCCTCCAGCAGGCTACGAGCAGAGCTAGGAACCTAGGTCTCCTCCGTCCCAGTCCGATGCTCTATCCCCTAGCTGTACTGCCTCCCTGTGTGGATGGTGGTGATGTGTAAAGTGGATGTGGCAGAGGATGTGGTACAGAGGAGTGGGAGCAATGAGGATTCAGTCATCTTTGCTAGGGAAGTGGTTCCCCACCTAAGCAGTTCTCACATTTCAGAAAATTGGCAGAAGTATCTTTGCCCCAAGGTAATCTCAACCCAGTTGAATACAGTTCTGGTTCATTGTTCGAACACCTGCATTAAAGATCACCAGCAAAGGGAAAACAGAGGGGTTGTGCTCTTTTTTGTTTTTTATGATGTAAATAGAAAAAACCTGGAAGAATTTTTGTTTGTTTAGCAGATTTTTTACACTTAGCAATCTGAGGCATCGCAAGTCTTGTATTCCGTTCTCTCAACTGCTTGTCAGGAGCTTGAGTTACATCAGTGCTAATAAAAACAAGTAAAAAACAAACAAACCCCAGTTGTAAATACTCCACCAGTCCTTTCCACTCTCCGGGCTTGTCTACACTACCGCTTAAGTCGATGTAACTTACGTCATGCAGGGGTGTGAAAAAACCACCCCGCCGAGCGATGTAAGTTACATCCACTTAAAGCGCTGTCTACACCCTGCTGTCAGCAGGAGACGCTCTCCCACCAACGTAGCTTCCACCTCTTGTTGAAATGGAGTAATTACTTTGACAGGAGAGCACTTTCCCACTCCCGCAGGACACGTGGCAGTGACGCGGTAGTGAAGACAAGCCCTCTGTTGCTCAGGTTTCATTCTGTTGGTGCTTCTGATGCCATTAGCCCACTAATTCTGCAGTTGCCCATAGAGTCTAACCTGTTGTCCCAGGAACACAAGAACTGAATTTCTCATGTAAAAAGCAAGCAGAACAGTCAAAAGCTGTAGCAAAGGGATGTCTCCGATGAAGTGAGCTGTAGCTCACGAAAGCTTATGCTCAAATAAATTTGTTAGTCTAAGGTGCCACAAGTACTCCTTTTCTTTTTGAAAAGCTTTTTTGTTTCGCTGAGAGGGGAAAACACCCTCTTTGGTCTTTATATATCAAAAAGAGGAAGGAAAGGAGAAAAGAAAGGTACAAACACAGTTTTCTACCCACTTGCAGTTCATCTTTAAAACAACCAATCTTTGCAGGTGCCTTGAGTTTTCTTGAAATAGCTTTCACTGTGATTTGTCTCTCTTGAAATTCCTTGGGGAGTTCTCTTCATTTTTAATGGATTTCATTCCTACAGGCTACCTATGAAATTAAGAAACCGTAACAAATGTCAGATTTAAAGGAACTCGCGCAGTCTGCTTTAGATAATTAAATTAATTCTGAAGAGGAAACCATTGCTTCTCAGGCCAGATCTACACACAGGTTTCTTATTGGTATAACTATTTTGATTAGGGGTGTGATTTTTTTTTAAACCAAAACAGTTATACCAGTATGACTCTTTATATCACTGTAAGGGTACCTTATGCTGAAGGTTCCCTTCTCAGAGGGGAAATAAGCACCTTTTTTACCAATATAACTGCCTCCACATTTTGAGTGGGAGGTTGTATGGCTTTAACTACACCAGTATACAAGCCCTCATTTTTTTTCCTGTTTCAATATGTGAAAGGGAGAAAGTGTATGGCGCAGGCAATAGTAAAGCTTTACCAGTGTGACCCACGGGAGGCCTGAATAGGAAATATTGACCGTGCTGCACTAGGTCAAATCTTCCGTGGGTTAGGATGCAGAAAAAATGTGACCAAAAAGGATTCCTGATCTGCAGGGGTAAAGTTAGCTGCCTTCATCAATCCACTGAAATTCCTAGCCCCTTAAGGATGGGTGATAACAAGAACAAAAAAGGGGGTCTAGAGTTCCCTAGGGCCCATCATCTGATCAAAAGTCTAGTGACGGGCTATGAATGAGATTAGCTCTCAAAATATAACATTCCTTCATCGTTGGACCTTGTGATCACTCTCAACAATGAAAGGATTCAAATGTACCGAGCTAATTTCTTTCATGGCACCCTGGTTTCAATCCAGATACTTTTTACGGGCTTGGTCCCTCCCTCAGTGAGGCGCTCCCAGTTAGCCCTGAAGCTGCGAGTCCTTCATTATAAAATGGGGGCTATTCGGGATAAAATGCTTTGTTTTGAAAAAAGGTTGAAAAATGTTGAGGAGAGGCCAGTTCTGAATGGTGGGGCTCAGACACGTACTGGATGATGCGGGGACTGCCAGTTTAATTTCATCCGCGGGAAATACGGGAATAGTTTCCTCAAGGTTGCAGGAAATGGAGACCTGAGTTACAAATCTTGAAAATACGGACCCAGCACATCCCTTCATGTGCTAAAAGCTGCAGAAGTTGAGCTGTATGAGGCGAAATCTCAGTGAGCATCTCCTTGCAAAGATCTCCCCATATCATGTCAGGGGCCCCTCCACCAGTGGAAAAGGCTGCCATGCAGAGGGTCTGTGGGAGACGACAGCCACTGTACCTCCACACTGGCTCTGACCCCTGGCAGCAGCCACCTGGCTCCCAGACACTGCTATTAGAGTGTCCCCCTGGCATGGCAGACTCTGTGGAAAAGCTGATACAGCATGGAGCTGTCATACTTTCACTGAGGATTTGGTGGGGTTCACATTCCTGCTCAGCTCAGACCCCAGGCCACTCACTGCTACAGAGGATAAAGATTTTAAAGAAGGCAGTGGACATGTTGAAGAACAGAATAAAGGTTCAGACATGTTTCCAGGGAGATCCCTGCTGTAGTCAGCATGATGGTTTTCGAGCTACCAGGGTAACAAGGGAGACCACACAAGGAGAAATGTGGTGACTTGTTGCCTCCCTCTCCCCTTCTGCTGATGGAAGCAGGTGGAGAGGTTATGACTATTGCTTCTCTTTCCAGGCACTGCTGAAGGAAAAGATCAGGCTGCCTTCTGAAAGCAGAGCCCTAAGGCTAAGCAGCTGCTTGCATTGCATGTGCTTAAGGCTGGCTCTGGTTCCCAAGAGCATAAAGAATGGAAGTCTTGATCCTTCTTTTTCTCCACTTCTAGTGCCAGAACAAACCTAATTACTGTGCAGATATTTTTGCAAGGAATAATGTGTTCAGAACAGCTGAACTTCCAGGCAATCTTACGTTTCAAGTCTCACATTGGGGTTTAACCACTTTATATTACTGAACTGAAAAATACAGAGCATTTGTAGTGTGTTCGTTTGACATCTTGAAAGTGTTTTACAAACCTTAACTAATTAATTCTCACAACACCCCTGCGAGATAGGTAAATGAGAATATCTCCATTGGACAAATGGGGAAACAGACAGAGAGGTTAAGTGACTGGCCTACAGTCATATAGTCACTGGCAGATCTGGGATTAGAAGGTAGGAGTGCCTCACCCCTCGTCCCACACTCCTGTCTCTCTAGACTACAGTGCCTCCCTCAAGGAGAAAACACTATGCTGAAGCCAAGAGGATTTGTTGAACAATGAGTGTCCAGCAGTTGTTCAAACATCTAGTGAAACTTTGTGTGGAATTTGGAAGACACACATTATAGGTCACCTTCCAGAGGCCAGAAAATTCTGAAGTCCTGGCCTTATTTAAGTCAATGAAAGTTGTGCCAAGCTCATCATCAGAAGCAAGCTCAACAACAGACCTGGGCAAACCAACTCAAAGCAGCACCAGACACTGCCAAAACAATAGATGCAAAATCTGTAGCCATATTTTCACTGCTGTGATGATCAATACCTCCCATAGCACTGTGACATTATTGACATAATCTGGGACCGTATAGATCATTGTTGCAACCAAGGTCCTGTACTGGCACCAAATCTTGCGTAAAGGAGCTATGTTGACTGAAGCACACTTCCATTGAGAAAGCTGTCTCTACACTAGGGGTTATGTTGGCAAAGCAATGCTGGGCAGGGCTGTCATTTTTCACACCCTGACTGATGTCACTATGCCTATATAACTTTAAAGTGTAGAGACCAAGCCTCTAAGAGTGCCTTTTTGCAGTTTAGCTTAATCCACATTCACTTCTATTCTGCACTATTTCTCCATGTAGAAAGGCCCTTCATATGACGTTCCAGGAGGGAGGGATCAGAAGGATCTAGCAGAGGGTGCAGTGCACTCAGGAATTTTTCAAAAAGAAAAGGAGTACTTGTGCCGCAAGTCCTCCTTTTCTTTTTGCGTATACAGACTAACACGGCTGCTACTCTGAAACCTGGAATTTTTCAGAAAACTTGTTACAGTGGGAGAGGTTTTTCTTAATTCCTTGCTAATTTTGTATATATGCCTCAGTTTTAAGATTTTAATGTATCTTGAATAATTTGTGGAAGACATTTCCTTGGTTTGGGGGATTAATATCGAAAACTCTGCATTTTTTTTTAAATGGGAAATGTAACTTTTGCAGGCATGCTAGAAACATGGCATTTTATACAGATGGCCTTTCTCTGCTTTGGGATTCAGGTATTAGGGACCAGAGGTTTATAATACCTACATAGCAAACTAGAACAGATTAGAGTACACATTTTATCCTGTGTCTCCTGTGCCAGAGTTAAATAACAAACAATAATACTTTGCATGTAGAGACAGCACCTTAAATTTGCAGAGCACGCTGCAAAAATTACAAAATAAAGTCTCACAATAGCCCCACTGAGGTAGGCAAACATCATCTCCATTTTACATACGGGAAAACCGTCACCTAAGATCACAGAAAGCCTGGCGAGATCATCCTTCTTCTACATGCCATATCACAGGGACCCACCATATGATTTGACCTCACAGTAACCAGGCGGCTCAGGCTCGGTGACAAACTGGAAAGGATGATAGGTTCCTTTTCTTAAATTTGGTAAGTTGAGTCCAGTATGGTCCCTGTGGGATTGTTCAGGAATCTGTCAGGGAGTAGACACCCTTCAAAGGTTATCTATTACATAGACACACAACATGTGCAGATAGAGCTCAGGCAAAATGCTGCAAATAATGACAGCCCTGGAAACAACTGACCCACATCTCGCTCCTCCACAAAAGTGGAATAGCAGGTTTAGCAGCAGACCAAGCTGCTCCATTAACATGCTGAAAACCTAACCTGAAGGGAGCACCCTAGGGGTAAGAGAGTTCATCCTCAAGCATTCATGTCTGGCCAATCACTGGTCTCTCTGATAAAGGTGCCAGTTGTGATGGTGATGCCAGCAAGGGGCAGAGCACTAATTAGCCACTGGAACCAATCCTAGCGATCAAATGCTGAATCCATGCACAAAGGAGCTGGATTGCTCTCTAAATGTAAACTATTTATCACCATTTGCTCCAGCTCAGCAGAACCGGCTCCCTGTCCCCAACTCTGATAGTATGAGGTTTAGTCACTGCACTGTCTTTGACCTCTTTAGAACACCAAGGCAAATAACTGGCTGGGGGGAGTAGAGCTGGGAGAACTCTAACAGGTGCTGGCATTGTATTATAATAATCTTACACACGACAAAAGACCGGCTTTACCATGTAACACGAGGTGAAACGAGTGAGGATTACCAGCTCCCATTGAGCACCTCTATAACAAAGCAAGTAGTAGAAGAAAAACACCTACAGAAATGCCTGATCCAGACAATATATCAAACTAATGCCAAACCACAGAACTGAACACAGCCAAAAAACCCTACTAAGCCTATTACAGGTCAAATCTATACTCCCCCCCACCCCCGCACCTGTGGTTTGACATCACTTAACTACATCCTGATAAATAGTACACAGACGCATCACCACTAGGATTTTCCACGGAGATAGCTAGCTCACGTTAATTATCTTGATGTAAAAACACAACTCTTTTGGCTGTGAAGACATAGCCTTAGACCCTTTTGAAAATGTCATCTCTTATCACGTGTATTACAGGAGTGTGCAAAGGACCCAGCCAAGATCACGACACCATTGTGCTGGACCCTAATATAAATAACACCTTCTGTGCTATCCCCAAACACTGGGTTCCTGCTAGAAAAAGACCAGAGTAAATGCCCTTTGTGTCTTCAATGACTAGAAACAGAGTATAGATTGTAGCCACCTTGGGGGCTGTCTTTCAGTTCTGTGTTCATACAGTGCCTAGCATAAGGATGTTCTGGTCCATGACTGGTGCTCCTTCGTGGTGCTACTGAGATACAAATAATAAATAACAACCCAACAGATAGAAGTCAATTGTGATGGGGTAGTCAGCCCTTAAGGGCAATACTGCCTAGTGGTCAGCCCACCCCATCACATGGCATGGTTCCTTAAGGATTTGAAAGGTCCAA